CGAAAAAAGACAAAAAGAAAAAAAAAAAATTATAATAAAGATCATTAAATAGATGAGGAAAAAATAATGTATCCATAAAACAAGAATAGAATGCTATAAAAAAGAACATTCAAGGAAATTCAAAATTCGGTAGGATTAAAAGATCAATCTGAAAAATTCTTCCAGAAAGTTGAATAAAAAATAACAACAAAGAAACAGGAAAGGGGGGTGAGGGTGGGGGGTGGGTAAAGAGCAAACCAGGATAGCCAACAACCAACTAAAAGAAAATCCAAAAAGGACAAACTAAGAAAATGGGTATGAAGAAATTATTACAAAAATAATAAAAGAAAATTTCTTAGAATTGAAGTTCATAAATTTCCAGATGGAAAAGGCCCACCAAATGCCAGAAAAATAAATTTAAAACAGACATATACAAAGACAAAGGCAAATCATCATAAAATTTAAGAATACTGGAAAAAAGGAAAAGATTCTAAACAACATCAGAGATAAAAATGTCATGTCCAAAGGATACGGAATGTGAACGTAACCGGACATTCTAATGCAACATTGGAAACTAGGAGAAATAAAGCTATGACTAAAAATTTGGAGAGAAAATTATTTCCACCCTAGAATTTTATGTCTAGCCAAAACTATCAATCAAATGGGAAGGTAGAATTTTCAGAGGTACTTTGTCTCAAAAATTTTACCTCCCTCACAACCTATGTTAAGAAGGAACTAAAAGACATATTTTACCAAATTTATGTGTAAACCATGAAAGAGGAGGATATAAGATCCAGAAAACCAAGAGCTAGTAAAGAAGAGAGGCAAAGGAAATTCTCAGGGCGATAACGAAAGGCAGGCCAAGGAGCACAGCTGTGCGGTAAGCCTAGAAAGCCACCAGCCCAGAAAGGAACGGACAGGGGCTCCGGGAAGAACATCCCCAAGATAAACAAGAAACAGAAAACACCTGTTGTACTGTCTATAATGGGAAGAGTTTTACAGATCTGTCAGAACATTTGAGGATGAATTACTAACAGGTAAATAGAAAACTAGGCAAGTGAAAAAAAAATGAGATAATTGTTAACTTCAGGAAAAATAAAGTTGTACAGATAAAATAAAATAAAGTTGAAAGTTGAAAAATAAAGTTGAAAGAAAATTTCATAATACTATATCTCTGCAATAAAGAAAAGTTGTTATAATAAAGTAAATATTGAATATTAACCTAACCAAAAATTTGTAGTTTGAGGGGGCAAGGTAGGAGAGGAAGTGTGTGTGTGAGAGAGAGAGAGAGTAAAAAAAAAAATCCTCATCTTCCATAGAAAGATACCAAAAATAAAGTTTAAAATTGAAAAAAATCAAGAGATAACAGTCTCTAATCATATTATTCAGAATATGGAGGTAAATATCAGAAGAATCAGCTAAAGAAATAAGAGCGGTTGCCTCTGAGTAGCAGGACTGAGAAAGTAAAAAGGTACATAGCAGGGAGCTGCTATTTTTGTTATAAACTTTGAAGTGCCACTTGGCATCAACCATGTACATGCATTACTTCAACAGAAGTAAAAATTAAAAACAAAAAAACTTCAGGGCCGGCCCGGTGGCGCACTGGAGAGTGCGCTGCTTGGGAGCGTGGCGGCGCTCCTGCCGAGGGTTCGGATCCCATGTGGAGACCGGTTCCCGCTCACTGGCTGAGCGCGGTGCGGGCGCAACACCGAGGGTTGCGATCCCGTTACCGGTCAGTAAAAACAGACAAAAAGGAAAAAAAAAACCAAAAAAACAAAACTTCAATCTGAACCAAACATGGCAAAATCTGTTAAACTGAGCAGTGGTATTCTTACATTTCATATCTCACTCTCTATTCTTTTCTTATCTTAAAAATAATGCCTATTTTTTAAAGTTCCCTTTTCAGTTCTAGAAATTTCATTAATTTGTTATTCAGTACAGTGTTAGTTGCCCTATTACATGAATGAGGAAGAGCATAAAAGAAAAAAACAAAACTGTGGTTTCTATAGTTTAAAAAAATCTTAAACCTTGATTACTCTTCTCTAAGGGAAAGTTCTTTGATTTTTATTTTCAAACACTTAATAACATTACTTTAAAAAAATGCCTTGTTTGATATATCAAAAAGAAAAGTTCCAAGACATAATAAACATACGAAGTGGGGAAAAAGCAAGCTTCAGAATAATTTGTGTAAGTATGAGCCCATCTATGTAAAATAAAACCAAACAAA